TTTTGTTAAACATGGCAAATTTTATCATCATGCAAAATAACCTGCCTCCCTTATGATAAAATGGCCTGAATAGACTTCATAGGATCATGAATTCTAAGGAGATTCAAGTACTTGAACTTCCTTGGAATTTTGATGTTTTATGTGCACAATTGAGCCTGAATTTGGGAGATTTGAAAGGGAGGTTGGAGAACAACTTCAACCAAGGGATTTCACTGTAATGCTGATAAGCATCTTTCCTAAACTTTTGCTAAATAAATCTTGCATATCACATTCGTGGCTTGGTCATACAATTTTTGTTCCATTTACAGGATGAACTCGGTGATGCTATTGATATTAAGGATCCTGACCAAACTCCTGTAGATGAACGTAGGACGAAACGCCTGGCAGCTGAAGCTGCCAAGTTTGACCCTGATCATTACCTGTGAGTATTGATTTACTTCACCTGGTCAAGTAAAAGTAACTCAGTTGAAATATACTCACTTTTTCTTTTCATAAATGATTGGTTTTGAGATCACTTTTGGAAATAATAGCTTTACTTTTTATTTGTCTGTTTCTTTGTCTCATCAAAGCAGGCCTTAGAGGGTATTCTTATGGCTTGTGTCGGTGTTACACTTTGCTTATCTGTTTAAGTCTATATTAAAGCAGCGTCTGCTGTGAACTGCTGCAGAATGTTGTTCACCATTATGTTGTGCATATGATTTTTTTTTTCATAGGGCTGATTTATTTGAAGATGAAGCTATTCAGCATGTCTTAAAGTACAAACCATGGTGGGTTGATGCCCAGAAAAGAATGATAGCCTCGCAGGAAGAAAGTCATCAGGAATGTGACACTCATACGTTTGGTGAGAGCATATGTATATATGTTTACACACACACACACACACCCCCCCTGCTGTTGCTTGAATGATAATTGCTGTGATGCTTATGTTATGTACTAGGTTATTGTTCTTAAAGAAAAAACTGTAGTTTCACTATACAGTTTTCAGTTTTAACTGTTCTTGGAGGACCATTCTGTTGCTTTTCTTGTCCTCAAAGAATTTATTATTTTTTTTTCTGAGGGACAGTTATATACTGAAATCTTTGGGATGGTTGTGTGCAGAGAAGTCGACAGCATGGTATAAACTGGTCATTTAATCTTAAGCATTTGCCTGTTAGTTATCTCTGCATAACAGATTTTGGAGTTAACTGTTCATAAAGGCCATTCTAGAATTTCAGGTATCTATGAAGAAAAAGTTCCCTTCTAAAGGTATGCTGTAATCTTTAAGATTTCAAAGGAGCTGCCAGTGTCAGTAAGTCATGGCATCTGAAATACAATAAAACATATCTTTGTGTAGTGATTATAATAGCTAGAAAATGGGATATTTGTTGGGGATATGTACTTATCTCCTCTTTTTTTCCAGATTTTTCAAATAACTGTTCTCCCTTTTCCTAGTTGTATTTTCAATGGAAAAAGTAGTCAATACTGGGTTTTGTGCCCACTTCCAAATGCAATGCAGACACCTCACAGCAAGTTTTCCAAGAATCAGCTGTGTAAGATTGTAATAATGTCAGCCCTTATCTCTGTTTGATGAACAGGTCTTCTGTAGGATCTTTTATTTTATTTACACAATATGATAGATGTTTATGGCATTTATTACTCTACTACTATTGTTACGGGTTTCTGACTTTTTTCAAAGGAAAATCTTCGTGCCCTTTCAGAAACTAAAAGGGATGGTTTCGGGTTTAGTAGATGACCTTGTAACACTGCTGTTAACAGATAACTGAGATTGCATTTCTGTACACAGTGATTGCAGAGAGCATTACAAGTTGCTATTATGCATATTCTTTTATTGTCCTTCGTTCATTTCCTATGTAGTATGAAAATCCGGTATTATAAAGTAGATAATGATAATCCCTTCACCAGAGGTTCTTAACAAATATTAGTGCACTAATAATACCTGCACTTTCACATTTTCTACAGAACAATGGAATTTGGGTAAATGTTGTGTATTTTACTGTGAATTTAATCTGATCTTCATTACTGGTCTCTTTTCAAGCTCTGAGGCCAGAAATTATTAATTATGTGTATCATAAGCATTTGAATTAAAAAGCATTGGACAAAGGTACAAGAGGTTTGAAAATGGAATAATGAGGGGTTCTTTTGTTTGTTTTTATCCATTCACTCCTCAGTAAATGAAACACTGCTAATGTTTGCCTGTATTAAGGATTATAATGAAAATGAAGAGCTGCTGGATGATTTTATTGATGGAGAATGTTTTTATTCAAATTGAGATTCTGAAGAAAAACACATACAGGGGTAACAGCAACAGACAAGCTACTCAAAAGCTACTCTGCAGAAATGGGGTTACATAAAGGTTCATATTTTCTCTGAACTATTTGTTGTAACAGATATATATTTAATAATGATTTTAAAAAAATTTAGTCTGACCTTCGTGTGCCTGAGGGAAGAGGCTCATGGAGTTATGTGGATCTTGAGGTGATGTAAGTGACATACAAGTCCATCTGGTGTCTGGGTTATGTTAATAACAACAACCCATCCTTTGCTCTAGAAAGACCTCAATTTTGATAACGTTGTTTGTGCTGTATGAATGGCACCAGCGGCTGGGGATGACAGTTGGCTGAATGAGGATCTGAAACCGTTGGAGGTTCCTAAACGGGAGTCAGTTGTGGTGAAAGAAACCACCATGAGAGGGAGTGCAGGTTCCACTTGAAGGTCTCTTATGAGAGAAATATGGAAGGGCAGGAGGTGGGTCCAGGTTATTGGACCTGGAATCTGATGATCAGTAAGATAAGTTCCCTGTCAATTTGTATTGCTTTTATGTTTTATCCAATCAAAGTGACAGTCTGGCTAATCTTGAGTTACAGATGCAGGAGTTCCTATGAGCTGAATGCGATCTGACTGCGTATCTGCATTAATATGTATTCTGGTATGCATGTTTAGTAAGTGGCAGCAACACAGAAAAGGCACATAAAAGGAACAGGGACTGTGCTAAGTGAGGGACTTTCTTTACTACTCAAAATTTTACATTCTTTTCACTAGGACGGGGGAGAAGTCTGCCTGCGTTAAGCCAAGGTGTGCTGTGCAGCGGGGAGGATAGGGAGGCTGTCACTGGTATTAATTGCAATGTGCTTGTAGGAAGAAGCCTTTGGACACTGAGCCAAGAAAATTATTTCCTTTTCTTCCTTTTGCTGATTTATGTTGGTGTCCTTTTGGTTTTATCTTCATTGGTTTCTTGAAACCAAAAACTTGATTACTTTTGTCATTATAATGTCTTTGGCTACAAGGAGTAATTAGAAATACAGATCTGGGGTTTTTTGGTTTTTGTTTTGTTTTGCATGACATTACAATTAACTGAAGATTTTGTTTGCTTGATTACTGCTCTTGCTTTCATCCCTGATTATCCTCTTGTTTTTACATCACCGGGTTTTTTAATGTCTCATTACCAGGTTTTTACCTTTTTGGATCAGCCCCTCTCATTAGCATTTAAAGCCTTCACCTCTCTTCTATCTTTGCCATGAATCTATTTTTATTTAACCTTTTAACTTTTTCCTCCAGCTTCTGTGCATGGTGCGTGTATTTTGTATTTTTAAAATTTCTTCTTTGTTGTCTTAAGTGTCTCTTCTTTCTTTTGTCCATTTTATCTTTCACTGTGTATTGTCTCTTCTTGCCCTTTATGGGTTTCTTGTTTGTTTGTTTTCCCCTTAGGCTTGTTAGCCAGCAGGCAGCTAAGGTTATTGCCTTCTCAGTGCAGCCGAGGAAGCAGAAGAAATACTGGAGAGCAGGTTTCACCATCAAGTTTATAGCAAAGTACAGTTTTTTGGAGTAGACATTTTCTAAAGCTGAAAGGCTCAGTTTTTCTTTATGCTTACAATGTCTAATGCAAGTCAAGTAATACTCCATAAAGCCTAACTAATTACACAGCCTTTCCCATGAGGAGAGAACAGCTTCTGGGAAGCTCTCTTTTTGCTGCTGCTGAAGCTTGCATTGGAGTCTTGCTTCTGCAGATTCCAGATGAAAGGTTTTGTGTTTTGTAACAAGCACATTCAACTTCGTTAAAAGTTCATTTCTATTCTACTTCAAATTGCACAACTGTAAAAACTCGTTTTTAGGCAGCACAATAATCCTCAAAGGCTCAGGCTGACATATGTATATAATATAACATTTATATGCTCCAGGGATAATGTATTTTGTTTACGGTAACCTATTGTGCTTACCAGTGACCATTCTCTCTTTCTGATCTCTTTCTAGAATGAGAGGTAATTTCTTTTTCGAGATTCCCATTTTGGTAGGGCTGTGCTCAAACATCTACCCTTACTGGTAGGATCATAAGCTTAAGATGAATCACTTCTCTTTTTTATCAGATTTCTGCAATTGTTTTGCCTGCCTGTTTTACTCGGTCTTCTGGGCCTTTGCAGCATGTGTGCCTTCCTGACACTGTTCTGCTGCAGAGCAAGTACTTTTCATGTGAGGAAAGATTGCTATTTATTAATGCAGTATTCTTAACATATAAGTGATAGGTCTAGTTACTGTAAAGTATCTCCGATTTTAAAAGGCAAGAACAGCAAGACATGGAAGAAAGAATGGTGCATGGGAGGGGATCAGTTCTGCTCGGGTATTTTCCATCGAGAGAGCTGTAGAGCTCGGCTTGATGGGGCGATAAGCCATGGCTCTGCTGTCACCAGAGGGCTGGCCCAGCTGATGATCAGAGGTTGTTCCTGACCTCTGCTGTTGTGTAGTTTTCGGCTTCTGACCGCTGGGTTATCCATCTGATAGCACATTTTATCTGAGTATCCCTAACACGTTTAGAACCGTAAGTGTCATAGCAGTCTTGAGATCTGGATCTCACACTGACTTATTTAAGTGATGTGATAAACTGAACGTCACAGACAGCTGGGTGCTGAAGGGCAGTTTGAAAAACGTTTACTTTAACATAGGGAATGCCTAGTTTAAAATAAGTACAAGAGATGATTAAAAAGTAAGGGTAGTCTCTATATTACAATGTAACAGTAACTTTGTGAGATTAATTTGTCTGATTCCTTTAGACATGCATATATAAATACAGTTATGCTGTGGCTAGAAGTAGTGTGATTTTGGCACTGACAAGCATACAAAACATTTTAAAGTCAAATTTAAGGAAAGCTTGAAAATTTAGTCCTTGATAAGTAGCAGCAAATGCTGCTTTGTATTAGATTAATATTAATTGTTACGGCTGTTGTTAAGTAAAACATTGGTAATGCAAGTGTACAAAAGTTTAGAGGCTTAATATAGCAGGAAGTATAATAACTGTTTTACTTGTTCTGTTAATCTTATAATATGTACTTACATTTTTGAATTGGGAAAACAAAGTAGGTGGTGGTTTTGACATGTTAATAATGAGTTTCAGGCCTGAATAATTTACTATTCAAGAACTTAAAGGAATGGATAGATATTTATTTGTAAAACTGAAGTGTTTTCCCCAGAGGGAAATTTGATTTGGAACACCTGGCACTTTGCAGTGCATTAATGAACATCTTGTAATGTTTATCTTTGGGAATTGTCCAGTTTAATCTTGTTTGCTGTTGTCGGGTAAACTTGTAATTTGTGTGTTTATGGTCCAGTTGCCTATGCTACGATGCTTCGGGGAGTTTGCATTTTAGAAGAAAACTTTATCTTGTATGTGTCATGACCCTCTCTAGGAGTTTCTTTGCTTTCTAGTTAGAAGGGAAGTATGGTTGGCATTCACCATAGAATGTAGATTTAGGGAATCTAACAAATACCTGTCAGTAAAACTTAAAAAAAAAAAAAAAGTCATTTTTTTTTGCTCTCAGTATTGGTCTGTTTCTTATCTCTGATGATAAGAGAGGTTAACTTTGATCAGCTATGAGACAAAAACAAGCTTCAAGTTGTAGTCCCTGGTGAAGAAGAGTGGATTTCCAGTAGTGGGTGCAGTACTGAATACACAGAGTTGCTGAAGGAGAAGGTTGCATTCCTGATACGGTGCTTCCTGAGTGCCAGCCGAGCTCTTTGAGGTGAGCCTGGAGATGGGAGAGTGCTGGCATGACTGGTTGACAGCTCCTGTCTGTGGTAGGTTCTCATGTGCCTTGAAGGAATTATTTAGCTTCTTAGTAACAGACTTTATTACTGCAATCATCAGAAGTGATTTTAGGCTTTATGAATCTCTTCTGCTGTAGTAGTCTTTGCTAACAAACTTTCGGCTGTTTGCTGTTGAGAAATGCTTTTTCATCCTTAGCTTTGGTTTCAGCTCCTATTTTGTGCTTCTCTCCAGGGTGTAAGAGCTACTTCCATATGATTTTATCATTTATTCCAGGAAAGGGTTTTCTAGTAAAAAGTAGCTGAAATTGGAAATGCCTTTCTTCTGTCCAATTGGACCTTGTAACTGTAAACACCCTGTTGCGATACCTCATTAAACCCACTTACAAAGTTGCTTTATGCTACAGTCTTCAGAAACTGTTTTTTTTCAAATGTGCTACAACATTGCACATATGGTTTTATGGGTAATTTTGGTATAAATGATAGACATGACTCACTGAGGTATCAATGCTACTTAAGAACTTACAAAGGAATTTGCTGATAGACTATAGATACAGTATCTGTATTTGTGCTTTAAAGGGTAGCACTGAACTGAATTACATTAGCAGAAAAACAGGGTCAGAACTGCCACAGTCTTGCTAAATTATCACTTTGTGCTAGATCATAGCAAGTGGAAGAGATTGCCTTTCTCAAGATGATATAAAAGCTGGAGTTTCTTTTTGTGGGAGCTTGTAAATGAATGGAGACTGGCTTGGCTCCAGAGAAATGTTTAGCTCATCAAGAAGTTCCTATAAGAATTTAAATTGAGTATTTCATGGTTATGAAGCTGATAGAAACATTTTAAATGTTCATAAAGAAGAAACATTCAAAAATGATTTTCCTAATTCGTAATTTTATGTCTTGAGATGAGGTGTGTGCATATGTATGTGCCTTTGGCATCACAAACATTTGTTCCAAAACATGTCATAAAATTAGAAAGCTTGTAGAAAGCTCCTGGGATAAAGACGACCGCATGTGTTATAGATGGATTGTATCCCCAAGAATGTGGATTGTGTAAAATGATGATGACCAGCGTTTGAGGAGAAACATCTATAAACATATTTGCAATCTTCATCCTTGAGAATCGGGCAAGAGATTTAGAAAGGAACTTGGTCTACTCGGAGTTGTAACACTTTATTTCTGAAACCTGGGCTGTGAGCTCCCTGTGAGGATTCAGCTGCCTGTGTCCCCAGGGCTCAGGACCATGGGTTATGGCCAACTGCATGGCCTTGGCCATGCTGCTGAGAAGGAGCAGGAGAAAAAGGCCTGCAGAAAAGTAAGAGCAGTAAAATTGCAGGTAGGATTGTTGGGACCTGATCATTGCTAGCTCAAGAATTCCAGAGGTAAATACCGATGTGGAAGATAGAAAATGCTAAACTATAAAAACAGGGAATCGAGTTGAGGCAGGAACTGCTGGGTATCAGGTCAGGCTGTTAGTGCTGATGGAGCTGCTAGATCAGCAACGTGCAAGGATCTGTCTCAGGGAGCCACAAATGTGGACCCTTCCCAGCTGCCTGCCTGGCCAGCAAGGGCTCAGCAGGTGCTTAGCCAGGATCACATCCTCATCTTAATGTGTGAACCATTTACATCTGTGAGTTTGTACGTCTTACCTCCAGCTTTTTTCTGCCCCCAGCTTGCCAGACTTGCATACTTGCCAAGAATATGGTGACTCAAAAAAGGAGTGGTAAGAGAACAATTGAAGAGAGATTCCAGCATTAATTGTAAGGGTTTGGGTTTGGTCCCCCCTTCCCTCCCAGAATAAATAATTAAACTTGGAGTTAAGGAGTACATCATGTATCTACCCCTGGCACTTCGGGTTTATTGTGAAAGTAACAAGAGTGCTGTATTAGGCTTGTTCCTAAGAGAAACTTCCTTCAGTGAGTGGTATTTTAAACTCAGGCTGGTCCCAGTGTTGCTGATGCTTGAACAAGTCACAGGGTGGGACTTCCTTGATGCAGCAAAGCATCGGCTGTCAAGCAGCAACACTGCTTTTTCCTGTCGAGCCACCTTGCGCCTGTAACTTTCTTCTGGGGTGTGACTAAAATGTGCTCGCTCCATCTGTCCTGTTCAGTACATCAGAGCCTGTTGACGTGGAATGCCCGCACTTCATGCAGCCTGGATTAAAATCTCTTAGCTCTGGCTTCTGACTATTTTAATTGTGCTGACTGGCTGCTTGATTTACTTTGAGTTTGTACAGATACGGCTTTTAGTCAGTTATCTGCTTCATCTCCACTGAAGAACTCTTCAGAAGGGTTACCCTTCAGTATTCAATCTTAGCTATCCGTGTCTGTACCACTGTTTCCTAGAGAAATGCTTGGCTGCGTTGTCCCAGCATACCTGCTGTGTTGTTATCTTCCTTATGCATCCCAAAGAGAAAGTGCTGGGTGAGAGGGTTCTTTGGGTTGGCTTAGCATAGCCAGTCTTGGCTAAATGAGGTATGCTGAAGATACACCTGGTGATTGTTGTTGGTGGGCACCATAGCTCTCTGGAAGGAGATGCAGCGTTCATACCAACATCAGTGGGGCAGGATTTGGATCTTTCTCTGGTCTTGCTCAGACACAGGAAGGATGTTACCAGACAGCATAATCCAAGCTCCTGAATCACGTCTAGATCACGAGTCAGAATTCGTGAGGTTTAGAAATATGGAATTGGACCTTTCCTTTTTTTCCCTTCCTTGTTTCTTTAGTTCCTACTCTTTTCTACAATAAGAAAATGTATTTGTTTTGTGTTATCCTGTTTTCTTGGTTTTAGCCTATACAACATAAACTGAAGTTTCTTAAATCTACTCAGATCCTGATTGTGCATTGATATCAGTATGAGGTACCCAGACACCTGTAGAAACCCTTGGTACTTTCAGAGGGGTTCAAAATCGCTAGTGTGTACTCGCAGGACTGCAGGGTTGGCACTTGACTTTGAAAGGACTGTAACACACTTTAATAGAAGTTAAAAATGAAAGTGAGATGATTTAGGGTTTTGCTTGAGTGACAAGTGACTTGTGATTAGTAACACTCTTTTTAGAGACCGTCGAAGTAGTATTACCTTCTATTAAAATGAATGTGCCAGCTTTAAATTAATAATCAGTTATCCTTTTTATAGTCTTCTCTGAAGAAGAGAAAGAGCAGCTGAGAAAGTTCACAAATAAATCTTATCTTCTGGATAAAAGAAGCCGTCATCATGCGTATCTTGGCTTAATTGATATCCTTCTGGCGTATTGCTATGAAATCTGTGTCAATGAAGGAGAGAAGAATGTAAGTAAAAAAAAAAAACAAAAACTAGTGTGTTTTAGGAATGTACTGCTGGACCCTGTATTGTCCTCTAGGAAACCTTTTAAAGGGAATTTATTTCCAAGCATTGAAAATACAGTTTATTTCCTTTTAACTTACTCAATTCTGTCTCTCTAGATTGAGCTGTTGGGACGCATTTAGGGATTAATGTGATTTCTAAATACTTCTGCTCTTCTGGAGCAGCATTTTAGCTGTAGGAGAGAAAAGGAGATGCATGAGACTCCAGGCAGTTTTCTTTGTTTCTGATTTGTTTTGTAGTGTGATGTGTCCTGACTTCTGTAAATGCAGGTTTCACAAAATAATTGTTCTTTTATGTTGATGGTTCTTTACTCTGTTTTTTGGACAGTTCCATAATAGGATTTGGATTCTGAAAAAGCACGAGAAGTCAGTAAGTCTGCAGGAGTGAAATGGAGTTTAGTGTTTTATGTAGGCTACCATTATATGCTTTGAACACAACAAATTTTTCTTTAAATTATGTTTTTTTTAAGCTTATGCACTAAGTGTGGAAGGTGTTTCCTGAGGCATACTGGAAACTAAGCTTGAGGCATTTACAATTATAAAATTGTCAGTTTTAATCAGACTGAATTGCAGGGCCTGGATTGTAGAACAGCAGAAGTATCCAGACCTGCCTCTTCAACAGAGTTGTCTGAGACATTGGTTATGTTGAATGTTAGTGTCACACACAATTACAAATATGTGAGGAACACAGTTGTACAAATCCTTATTGATCTTTGCAATAACCATATGGTATATGTAGAAAACACATTGTGGGGTTTTCCCCCCATTTTGTTTTTTTTTCCTTTTTAACAGGAAAACAAAGACATTCAGGCCACACAAACGCTTATTGGAGCCAGGATTACAGATGAGGGTTTCCTGGCTTTTTGGCCTAATTGTCCCACCAGATCACACTACCACACGAATACGATGAGTCTGTCACAGTTCAGGAATGACATTTTATGTGTACCACTGGCTTTAGGACTCTTTCTGAAAGCCAAAACTCTTGAGCCATTTTCACAGAACGAGGCATTTTAGTTTGAGCTTTGTTGATTCAAGTTTCTGTTGCTTGGTAAAAAGGGGCAGAATTCCACTAAATACAGCTTTTCTGTGACTGCTGTTGTATTTTAAAGGTTTTTATGGATGGGCTAGTTATTCCCAATGTGGAAACCAATTCAGTTATTTAACATCTGCATTGCAATATAATTTTTAATGCTGTCCTGTGGCCTTTTGAATGCACATAATATAATTACTGCTTCATATTCACAAAGGTTCTTAGACTGCTGCCAGAACGTTACTTTAAGTAGTTTGCCAGCAGTCTCGAATGTTCAGTTGGATAATACTTCTTTTATGGGCTCCTTTTAAAACCAGGTTGAATCATCTTGGAACATCAGGAAACTGAGTTCAACGTTGTGCTGGCTGGAGGTAAGTTAAAACTGGAGTTCTGCATTATGTGTTTGTGTTGTTATTTGTTTTTGCTATCGTATGATGCCTTTGTCAAAAGCTTACTCTTTCAGTATTGAAGATGAATTAAGTGTGTGTCCTCTTTTTTATAAGTATTACAAGAAACTGATTGTGACTTCTGGGCTCTCAGCTGCTGGCAGCCTCAAGAGGCTGGGGGTTGATCCCTTCTCTGGGTGCTGGGCTGCTGCTAGGCACTTTCTGGAACAGCTGGGGACAGGCACTATGAAAAGCTGTCCCTACACACTGTCCCTAGCTCCTGGGCTTGAGTCACAAGTCCCGACTGTTATTTAGGAAGTAACTGTAACTATTCCTCACATATGTGTTATTGCTGCATCCCTAATGTTTGGTTGCTGCTAGCCCTTTGAAACCAGTATAGACTAGAGGAAACAAACAGTTCTGTGCTCTGTGCTTCCAGATGTTTACTGAAAGCACACGGGCTGTGTAATTCAGTTGTTGCAGAACTGGAAGTGGAAGGGACTTGACCTGGCCTGGAACCCCTGATTTCTTGTGATGGAAGGGACTGTCTCATCTTCATTCCTGAAATTACTGCAGGATCAGGAATGAGATGGGACAGGGTTTTGGGGTTCAGTCCTTTAAACATTCCTAGTAATGGCAGATGTTATATTCAGTAATAACTTGTCCTAGGGGACTGGTTTTCTGGATCTGTTCGTTTTAGTTTGTTTCCACCCGAAGTTCTGCAGCAGCAAGTCAAAGGCTTGCAGTTAAAATGCCGTGATTGCCTTAACTCTCAATTTTTTTTTTCAGATCCATATCCTAACATAGCGAAGGAGTTTTCTGCTTATGCTTATCCTATAATGTAGCAGTTCTTGGCGCAGCCTGTGCCAACAGTATATTTCACACCCAGGAAATTCAGTCTCCTGGCACCAAGCTGTTAATAGCTATATCTGTTATACAAACCATGGAGAGGCGGGTGTTTTCATCAATCTGTAAACAAAACTGCCTCAGCTATGGTTTGTTTGAACCGACTGCCATTTTGCTGTGCGTGACACGTGCACACCTTAGACTCTAAATATTAAATAACAAAACATAAATTATTTAGATGCTTACTGGCGATCCGTTAAAATGAAAAATGGGTTGAGGTAGTCATATAATGCCAAAAAGTGCTGGCTGTCAGCAAAGCGTTTTTATTAATTTTAATAAATTGAGAGTTCAAGATGAAATAGGTATTTTTATTTGAATTCATAAATGGAATATTTTGTCTTGAAAAGTGAAAGCTGGAAAGGAAGTCGCTCTTTTAACAAAGTCTTTACTAACTCGTTAATGCCTCTGCTCTGTGTAAATTACAGGTTCGTAAAGGAGGACAGCGAACTGCTTTCCCTAGGCAGATATATTTATTCCTGTCTTGAATATCTGTAGTTTTCATGAAAGGCAGTCATGTATCATTTTTAAAGATCTTATATGTACACATGTATTTTGTTAATATCATGTGGTTTTAATTTTTCTTTATTCTTAAAAGGCTTTTTATAGCTTTCCCTTAATATATATAATAATGTGGGACAGATGTAATTTATTGCTTTAATCTAAGGAATGGCGAAGTCTCGAGTTAGATGTTTTATTCTGGTGTTCTCTACGTTCTTTTTTTAGTTCAAAACCACTAAAACGTAGAGAACTTCTGTTATCCTGCCGTGCAAACTAAATGTGCAGTGTCTTGTTTCTATTTAACATGTTGATTTCCATATCTGTTAAAATACAGATCTTTAAACGCATAATATATAAAAATGTGCGGTTTTTTTCCTATTCTGCTATGAGGAAAACAAACGAACAGACCCCTAATTCTTTGTATTGCAAAGCACACAGACTAACTCAGCTTTTTCACTGATGTACACAGCGTTTCACTAGCATTAATGACGTCCTGGTATCTTTTGGAAGAAGAGTACTGTGCTATCCCCTGTACAGACACTTTGGATTAGTGACTCGTGCCTGCAGCGATACAGTCATGATACTGCAACTGGGTAAGTTCTGTAGGGATGGGAGCGGTGCCAATACAGCCACGTTGCTCATAGATCTGGGATTTTTTTAATCACTTTTGAATCCTGTGTTTGGTTTCACCCAAACCTGATTGGTATCCACATTTCTGGCCATCTTGTGGTTTGGGAAAATGGAGCTGGGGAGAGAAGAGAACCAAATCAGTGTCCTTACCAGGAAAAAGCTCCTGAAGCAACTCATTTATTAGCTAATGGATAATGCGTGCAGTTGTGGTGTAAAATTCAGCTGTATTATTCGCACTAGAAAATCTACACAGAAGAAATGTAATGAATGTCTCATCCTTAGAAAAATCTTTGATCAGATCTTGTGTCTTCGTGAATCAGGATAGTCCAGCTGTGATTTGTAAAGCTTTAGGGAAAAGGTCTTTAAAGTATTTTTCTTTATACTGTAATTTTCTGTAAAGAGGTTTTTCTGTGTAAAAAGAACATTTTAATGAAGCTTTTGTTACGATAGATTAGATGCTATAATTGTTTTAGGCCCTGTTATTTATTTCAAAGCAGGGTCACTTGTTGTGACAGTGCTGCTGTTTTCTGTTGTTCTCTGTTCTTTCACTGCCTGACTGAAACCCTCAGGACTGCAGGGATTCTGGTAACTCCCATGATCTCTCTCCATCTAAGAGAGTTTTTGAAGTGTCGTTGTCTGCAGTTGTTCCAGCTGTTCTGTTTGATTAAGTTCTGCTCATGGTGGTTTTGCAGTTGCAGATCTGGGCAGCTTCCCTGCATGGTTTACTGTTTGGAAGGAATATTGTTTTAATGTGACCCTGGTCAGTGGTGGTAAGATTTTCACAGAAAGGAAGCTTACCCTAATGCTTACCCTAATGCTGAATTCCTGCTCTACTTGCCAGGTGCTTTTCCTAGAATTAGATAATCTTGTTTTGCATTGGGTATGTTTATTTTTTATATTTTTATTTTTAAACTGAGCCAGTCCATTGGTTGTATTTGTTTTCCTGTTCCAATACCTGTGTTTGACATCTTGCCATCTTTGTTCCTGAACAGTTCCTTCCTGTGTGCCAGTGTGGTATTGCCAAACAGAATCACACATTTGGGGGCAAGGGGTAGTTTTGTGGTTCATGTTCAGTGATAGCACATGGGAGGTAAGTTACTTGCCTTGCTTTTGATGTTATAATGAAAGGTGTTATTGGAGCAAGCATCCAGTGACTCAACAGACTACTTGGAGTAGTTTGGTGAGGGAGGTGGCATCTGCTATGTGTGTGTCAGATGTCCTGCTCCATCCTCCTACATCGGGCATGTGGCTGCTGTTGCCTCTTTACCCTCCGCTTCCAAAATACAGTGGCCCCAGTAGTGCTTGTCACGGTGTCCCCGTGTTGCCCACAATGGTTGTGCTCCAGCAGCAAAGTCCCTGTCTTCTCTGGAGGAGTAGTTTGGGAATGCTCACTCATCCTCTCTCGAGACAGGAGATGTCAAACAGCAGAGCCTTGTTTGTTCTGACAGCAGTGATTTGCCTAAAAATTACTGCTATGAGCTTTCAAAGGGAATCAGCTTTAGCTGGTGGCTGGGATGGTTTGGAAGCAGTGGAGGAGGCTCAGAGCTGCAGCAGGTCTGGCTCCGTCCTGTGCGTGGCTGTGCTCTGCTGTGCTGGTTGCCTGGAAACGGTGCAGGATGGGGCGAGCGCTGCCTCCACAGAGCTGCCCGTGCGTCTTCAGGACGCCGCAAAGACAAGAGAGCGTGTGCCCGTTTCAGCTGGAGCTGTTACCAGTGGAGAACAGGACGCTGTCTGGAGCGTGAGCCGTGGTGATCTCCAGGTGCTGCCTGGGGAGCAGACACAGATCTATTACTTCCTTCATGCGCACATAAATCTGCTGGGAGGGGCGTTAGCAACTTAGCAGTGTAGTGATGAAAGTAATGGTGATGGATGTTAACTTCTGACAGTCCTGGGCTCTGTGTATCAAATCAGTATTTGCTATGTAGAATGTGAAAAATGGCAAGTTTTTACAATAGCCAACTACCAAAGAACTGGGAAAGATACAAAAATGGATGTATTGCCTGTATACAGCCAGAAGGGATTGGGGAGAAGTGTGTGTGTCTGTGTATTCTTAAATGAAATGGATTTGTAGATAATGCTGCTGCTGCCAAGGATTGTTCAGTCGGAGTGTTTCCTCCTTCAGACTTCAGTGGAAGTTGAGCCATGGTTTTGAGGAATTTCTGTTTTTACAAAATACTTAGCAAACTATGACACGTTCAAAGCATAGCAGTTACAGAGAGCGCTAAATACTCTGTTACCCTCTTTGTTTACTGGAGATGATGCCTCGCCCATTTGGCACTCCATTGCTCTGTGTGTGATGCACGTAGGTAAAAATGACTGTGGAGATAATGAATACCATTAAATAGCACCAGAAAACTCTTCCTTTTCATGTAGAGGCAAGAAGACTGGTGTTTAACTTAAAGGAAGAATTGGTTTGACTTGACCTCATCCTGACTTGAGGTTTCTTTCAGGATGCTGGTAATGGAAGCTGGGACATGGTATAACACAATGTTTCGGTAACAATAAGCACAGTAGATTATTTAAAAATCGTAAAGAATTCTGATGGGACTGAATTGTAATGCCTCAAGTGACGTGACTTGACTTTAAAAATATTGGTGCTCTGTTGGTGGATTGCTTCCAAGGTACAGGATACTGCATTTTTTAGCTATTAAGGATCCTTGGGTGTAGTTGAAACACTTTTTATTGTGAATTGACTTCCTGCCAGAGTGTTAATTGTACGATGAATGCATTAAGCTGGTTAATGTTGAGTTCCTCAGCAGATTTTTTTCATATGCTTAGTGATGTGTAATACTTTAAAATACTTGAGTAAAACTGTTCAGAATTCAGCGCAGTTATCTAGGGCATCTGCTGTATTTATGTTTTCTTTGGATGGGGTTAAAAATTGGAATGAAGTGCAGTGGTACCTCCAGCTACAATGCTCTTTCCAACAAAATGCATATACTGTGTGTGACAGTTGACTAACAAAGATGTATCAGTGTAATGATGAGTAATTGATCAGTGTTGAACATTATAGTGCAGAGCTGTAACTTTACACAGAAAATATGCAAAAACTGACTTAAAACATTCATATTTTCCTAAGATTATGAAAGTTTCTTGTGTCTGCTCTTAAGTATTTGTTGGTGTTCTTCTAAGTAGACGATTTTTCTTCTTCACCCTTGTACTTAAAAGTGCTTCCATCTTTAAGCTGTGTGAAGAAAGTGCAGTGGGTTATCATTAGCATGTATTCATCTCTATTCCATGGCTTGCTTAAGTCAGGTATACAGTGTATTTTAAAAAATGACAATCCTGTGGCTACAAATCCTATGGCTGAATTACAGCCACCGCCTGACGGTGACACCAGGCGTGTGCTGAGCACTGCAGGGGAGATCCACAGCCAAAACCTGCGGTGTGGAACCTCACAGAAACAGGCCAAGAACCGTCTGCGTGGTATGGAATATCCTACATTAGGGCTTAAATAGCGCTTGCTCCTCAAGTTGTCTTTATTCGTGTGGTAAGGAGTTGAACGCAGCTTTGTATAAGGACTTCTTGTTTGTAGGGTGCATGGATTCTGAAAGCAGCATGTGGAAGTTTGCCGTGCTCCGTGTGCTTTCCTGGATGGAGGGTTCCCCGTTTCATCAAGTCTGGCTGGATTAGCAGCCTCTCTGATTAGAGGCCCATTAAGCTGCTATAATATAAAACTGTAATTTATGAAGAAAGACTCCTTTTTATTGAGAATTCGTGTTGCAGTCGCTAATTTACATTGTTACTTGGCAGATGAGTAACAGCAGTGAATGTTGTAAATGGTTCAGTCTGGCAGCTTGACAGCTAGAACCTAAAAAATTAGCAAAATTTTAATTCCGCATATCATTCCTTTTTAAAAGAGCGTGCTGCTCTTTAGTCAAAATAGTGAAGCTTGACAAGCTTGGCTTGACAACCATCGATGGCGATACAATCTAAAAAGTCATCACTCATATTGGGGGTTTTATGTTTTCTTTCCTGACTTTTTTCTCTTCCAAACCGTGGGGTTTTTCCAGTTCTGATTGCCATGGTGTCTTGCTCTTCAGGTTCTTTCCATTTATTGCCTTTTTCCTCATTCTTTAACTTTCATTCTCTGTTTTTTCAGCATGGAATTGCAAACAAACAAACACATTTTGTTCCTGAACAGCAGGGGGAGTGCTGAACTCTTACTTTTTAGGTTTTTTTTAATCTGTGAAATGTAATTTCGTCCCTGTTCAGGTTTCATAGCCTAGGAGGAGCCAGCCTCTTGGGACAGGGTTATTAGATTCCATTTGCAGTAGTGGCTGTTTTCATTTGAATGTTGTTTTTTCCCCCCCATTAAACAGTGAAAATAATTTTATTTTTTGTTAGTGTTCCAGCACTTAACCCTTGAGCGACTTTCATCAGAAAACTAAGGGAGGAGATTCCAGCTAATTGGAGATTGCATTAGTCGGTTCTCTTTGTATGCAACCGCTGTTCATGAAGAAAATTAAACTGTCCACAGACAGATTTCTGCTTGTGGAATAAGAGAAGTTTATCATCTGTTACTGCGTGTATCAGCTCTGTGTGTGTCAAACGGCAGCTTCTTGAGCCTGATGTGGGTTTTCTTTCTGAGGGGTCGGTTGGCCGGATTATTCTGTAATGACAGAAGTCAGAAGTTCTGCTCCATTCAAGGCCATGGTCTGGTGCTGAGCTGTGCTATCGCTCACACCAGTGCAGTGGCTCCTGCGTGCTTGGCCCTGCTGTGGGCTGTGTTCCCAACCTCATTGTCTTTCAGCACAGGTATTTGCATAGGCCTACAGGGAAATAGGTTTTCTGTTTCTTCAGATAAACGATGGGACATAGCTTTTTGGTATTTGCGCGTTACTTTTCAACTTGAATTTGTTTTTATATAGTCCACTGTAGGGCTGTGCTAAAGTTTGCACCAGCCCAGCTCAGTGAGATGGGAACAAACTGGGGGAGGAGGCTGCTCAGCTGTGGACAGTTACAGCATGGCTGTGTCTTGAGGCTTCTGTCCTGCCCAGGGATTGCTCCTGAGTTCAGAGGCTGCACATCCTCATAGAAGTGGATACTGAAGGGCGAACTCATCTCACTGCTGTTCCGAGACTGTTACAGGATGGTTGTGGGTAGCGTGGTTATTAAAGCCTCAAAGGTGAGGAGGTGGGAAAGATCTGTTGTGATTTCTGGTGAATTACAAAAATCACATCTGTTTCCAGGCAGAGCTGCAGTTTTGAAGTGTCTGCTGGACATTCACAAGATTTTTATGGAGAACGACCCTGCCTACATCCTGAACGATCTCTTCATTACAGACTATTGCATCTGGATTCAAAAAATCAAGTAAGTTCTTGAGTAGTTATTGATGGGGGAATGTTTTCAACGTTCATCTATGAACAGATGTAAGTAAAATCAAAATAATTGCTATCCACTGTAAGTGGAAATGTGATCAGTCTTTTTCATTTAGTAACCTTGGCTATCCAGCTATTCTTAATACATAAAGGCATTCAGTGCATTTTTCAATGTAGTGACTTCATTGGAGAAGGGAGGGAGGAACTGCATCTGAAGTAAAAATGTGAATTTTCATGAATATGTTAATGATTTGGGGGGAAAAAACAGCTTCTGGGGAATTTTAATTGTATTGCCATCTTTCTTGGGAACAAAAATGTTTATACAGCACTTAGGTAACATTAGGACAGAGGTTGGAAATAATTTCTGTTTCAGGGTTGAATGTATAGCTTCCAATAGAATTGACAAGTTCCAGTTCTGGTCAGATGCACATGCAGACCATTCACATCTGTATGAACCAGGTGATGTGTGGGCTGCAGCAGTTGTTCTGATTGATTATTAGCACCAGATCTGTGCTATGCACTCTCACTCCTGTTGCCGCTTGCCAGCCACTCTCCCTGGCAGAGGCTTTGCCTCCCCCTTTCCTGACGGGAAGCGGTGATTCTGCTGCTTCCAAAGTCACTGCACTTCACTTCTGAGTCTCGCCTGGCTCTTTCCATGGGGTCAGCGTGGCTTTACTGATTGCCAGAGTCTTGGGGACTTTGCAATCAGACTGGTTTGAAGGATCTGCATGGCTTGTAATGGTTTAAGAACCAAGGTATTGGTAGGAAGACAGAAATGGATTGAAGGAACAAAGCTGCGTGTTCAAACCTTGCTAAGCTTTGTATTGCTCTTGTCAGTTGTATTCTATTTTCCGTACAGCTTTTGTTTTTTCTCCCTCACTTTTTGTCTTCCCACCCTTCTCTGAAGACCCACCAAAGTACGCACATGAGTTACAAGCAGTGTTTCTGTGAAAAGGAAGGCCGCCTAATACAAACACAAAAATTGCCATTGTCATATTTGTAAATATAGCAACATAGACTCATAAAACAGTTGTTAAAAATAGTCTTTGTATTCCAGCTGACAATTTAACAAGAGACTGTGGGAGAAAAAATTACTTCTTAAGTACACAAGGAAGGCAGTGAAGGGGTATAGAGGGAGCTTGGTAATAATCATGATCAGAAAGGGGAATATGGAAGAGAATTGAGCTGGTTTGCACAGGCTGTGTATTCAGGTGTGGCCTTATTGGTATTTATAGAGAATTAAAGGCCTTCATTTCATAGCTGCATATTACATGTCATAGATATTGCTGATTTTTACTCTTCCCTGTGTGCTTTCAATGACTATATTCCTATAGGCAACAATACACAAAAAATTCTAAAGCAACTACAGGTGTTTTCAAATATTTGGATTCATCATTCCTGATTAGTTACAGGAACAGTTGGTTTATTTTACATTGTCATTTCTGAGGAGGCCTTTTTTGGCCACTCCTTAAATACAGGTATGGGGAAATTCATGTTCAGGTTGAAGTTGAGTTGAAAAAGTGCAGTAAGTGAAGAAGCAGAAAGTTATTTCATGCATCTTTCACAAAGAAATGAGTCATAAGACATTAATATCACTGCTGCCCGTATCAATGAATATAATGTCTAGCAAGTCAGTCATAAAACCCAAGGCTTTCTTTAAATACAGCAGAGGAAAATGTATGGTAGATATAAGTGACTGATACATTAACACATTTGCTCCCAGACACATCCATTATGTACCAGTTAAGCAGAACTGACAGCTTCTGGAAAGAGGGCAATTAAGCTCCCTTCTTGTCATAATGACATGGCACAATAGTTGTCTGTCATTAAGGGAACAAGAGAAAGAGGAGCTGCAGAAACCATTCCTATTTTTAGGGTCTGAATCAGGAAGGCATTTAAGCATATGCTTAAGTCATTCCTGTTCAGTTAGCAGTGAAGCATGTGCTTGAAGTTAAGTGAACAGGAACACTCAGGTTTTTCCTTTATGTTGAAGGGAATAATGAAGTTCCCTTGTCATTCAGAAAATACCTTAACAGATACAGAAGTGGGTGGCAACTTGTCTGCTAAGGATGAGAGTTTGCAGCTCCCCGATGTGAGTGAGGTGTCTGGAGAGGACGGTGGTGCGTCTCCCATTGCAGGCAAAGGCTACAACATCCCTCTGGTCGTTGCCTTGTGGCGAAAGAGTTTTGGGAGGGGAAGGTATTTACGGCTATTTTGGTTGTGGTCATAATGAAGTTATTTGCACATCTGATCAGTCTGGACACTTTCTCTGTTTTGTTTCTTTGCTATTCTTTGCTCCGTGCAAGCTTCATTAACTTTCTTTGTCTTGGTTTCCCTGTCTTTTCATAGCTGTGGTCCCAGGGTGCTCTCACAGCTGGTGGAGGGATTTTCTTTTCTTCCCCTCTTTCCCTGATACATAACCAAGTCCCAGTGGAGGTTGGGGCCTTGTGGTTTTAACAGTTAAAACAGACTGCAAGTTCTTGCTAGTGAAGAATCTGAGCACTTTAAAAACAGCTTGAAGCGAGTTTTTTAGCTCATCTCTACTGGCAGGGAAATGCCTGGGACCTGTAGGTTCTAAACCTAGAAAAGTTTGGGGTAGGCAAAAATGTACTGGATGTATCAAGTGGTAGCAAACGTACAGTGCTGTTCCAGATTAAGCCTCCAGGAGAGGAATACCACTGGCAGGTACTAGCTTTTAAATAGCCAACATGGAAACAAAAACCTTACAGCCAACAGTGTATCAATGGCTGATCACAAATTTGGTTTGAGATCATGGTTTGGCTGTGACTGAATTAGATGAATAACTCAATTTGTCACTGGGCTGGCAAAAGATGATTTATTTTAAGCATAATATATCTGGAGCTAGAAATTATTAAGCTGCTGAATAAAACACATGCAGGTTAATAATCAATTGGATATGGCTGGTGCAAGCCAGATTTTTAATTCTAAGGATCTTTTTTATTTCAGAAAAATGATTTCATTCAGGTATCTGTTACTGAGGGAAAAGTAGATTCCTAGAAGTCTTAGACAATACAAAATACTAGCAATTGTTGCTAGAATTTTGTCTTCCTGTTTGCAATCTTAAAGCTAGTTTTACCTGCTTTCTAGGTTTCTAGTATCTCTTTGAGCTGCTTGTGAAGTTACTATTAATAAGTTGATCTGTTGCATAAAGTGGCGTGTCAGATCCTTTTATGTGTTCGCTGGGTTTTGAAGAAAGGCAGTACATTGCTCTGCAAAACCGATCAGAAAAGAGGGAAAAGTAAATGTTAACCTGGGTAACAAGAGCTAGACAAAGACCCATGGAGGCAGCTCGTAGTAAATCTTGGCAGGTGGTGTCAACATTTATGTGGAAAAACCAGATGCAGCCAGATGGAAAATTGCATCTTTAACCCCCGAGGTCATAGTGACATGTCATCACTTCATTTGAACCCCCGCTAAGTGAGCTTATCAACCACCCTGCTGTCACTTGTGTTATTACTTCCATTTCCATAATAAAATTAAATTTAATTTGTCTGGTTTGTGTGCTTTTTTCCTTTAGATCAGAGCTTTTGCAGACCACTACGATAGGTATATGGCAGCCTCTCCAAGGTGAAATTGTAACTGAATTCGTGTTAGAAATCTGAGCTTTTCTCCGTCTTTTACACCTTCTTCTGAGCAGATGGAGATGAGCGAGAGCAGAAAGCTTTGGGGAACCACTGGTTGTCCAATAGCCGCAATACGCACTGCTCTGCGTCCCTGCGTAAGAGAACAATTGAGCCCCAGGCTGGTTTAAAATGTATTTACCTAACATTTAAATAAATGTTTAAACATACATTCATGTTTATGAAACCGTAAGTGTATTTCCTGTGTTCCTGACTTGGAGATGAAGCTGTTGGTGCTCCTGGTGGTTTTCGAGGGGTTAGTGCAGTTACTTAGGCACAGTTGTATAGTTGTATACTTCTCAAAAGTTTATGGGTATGGGAATAAGGCATTTGATCTTATGTAATTTGTGTTATATTTTTCATTATCGCTGTTTTTCTACTTTTCAACTTACCATCTTGCCTTTTATTCACGATCTGTTCTATTGCAAAAAATTATAACATCTTTATTTGTGTTGTGTGTTGTAGTAGCAAAATGCATTTGAGAACAGGTCATGTAGGACAGCCTTCCTGAAGGAATTACCTTAAGCTTTTGCTAGATTTGGGAAAATACTTTGTAACCTATAATATCTTCAAGCTGGTGTAGTCAAATCTTATGATCTTTAGATGAATGTAAATAGAATTTTAACATACATTCTAGTTGTTTGTTAATATCAGAACAACTTGTTGGATTTTGAAGATTTTTACTTTCAAGGCTATTCTTTCATTTGCTGTTTTGGCTGAAGAGCCAGACAAGTACAAGGTGTAAACCAGAAAAATCTTGGTGCTGCTCGTGGTTACCGTGAACACGGTAAGAAAGCAGAGTTTCACCTGGTTACCCAGGCTTCACCCCTGTTGTCCTGCCGTGACTTGCTGTAGCAGCTCGTGACTGCAATCCCCAATTACTGTAATTCCTTCTTAGCAGGCTTCACAAGCTGGCATTGCTGCTGCTGGCAGCCCGTGCAGCAGGCAACACTGCATTTACTTCCTGCTTGGAGTAATCTGCTGTGTGAGGTTTGCTTTTCATTCACTTCTCTGGTAGCCCGTAGCGGTGTGTTAACTTTCAGGTGTCCCAGCTGCTTTCCAAGCTTTTACCAATAATGGGAATGGCCACTTCAAATGGTCCCTATGTCACTGTGAGACCAAATAACCTCAGGAGTTCATTGGTAAGAAAGTTAAGGGCTGATTTGGACTTGTCTGCCAGTATGATGGGACAGACATTTGGGGTTTTGACCATTGTGTAGTATAACAAAAAGAATTACAAGTAAAATCCATCTAGTTGAACCAGAAACAGGAAAAATTCAGGCAGCAATAAGTTTTCACATTTTCCTAGGGAGGAGTAATTATCAGTTGGCTCATTCTCCTTAGGTTGGTG